AGTCGTAGCCACAGACTATCTCACCCGTTATGCTGAAACTGACTCTCTATACAGTGCGACAGCTGCCGAAGTCGCCAAGTTCTTTGTGAACAACATAGTGCTCAGACATGGTGCGCCAATCGTCGTTATTACGGATCGGGGCACCGCATTTACTGCAGACCTAATGCAATGCCTGATGCGCATGACAAATACCGATCACAGAAGAACAACGGCGTATCACCCTCAGTCAAATGGCTTAACCGAACGCCTCAACAGAACTCTGACCGACATGCTATCAATGTATGTTGATGTTGAACATAAACAGTGGGACGAAATATTACCCTACGTAACATTCGCATATAATACAGCCGTTCAAGAAACAACCCACGTTGCCCCTTTCGAACTAGTATTCGGCCGAAGAGTGACCACCCCGCTGGATGCCATGTTACCACTACAGGACGAAAGCAGCTATCCACCTGACTTAGATGACTTCTTGCAAAGAGCCGAAGAAGCACGGCAAATGGCAAGATACCGAATACGCCACCAACAGCACGTCGATTCTAGTCGCTACAACAAGCGACGCAGTGACACACTTTATCATCCCGGTGACAAAGTGTGGATATGGATACCAGTGCGCCGCCGCGGACTCTCTGAAAAGCTTCTTTGCCGATACTTCGGCCCTTATGAAGTACTCAACCGTGTCAGCAACGTCACTTATGAAGTTAGATCCGCTGGACACGTGAGTTCAAGAAGCCGCAATCCCACGGAAGTGGTCCACGTAGTCCGCATGAAGCCCTATCATGACAGATCGTCGAAAAACGAGTGAGAGTGCGCGTGTATCTTTGCACTGTCTTAAGCATCGGGACGATGCGTCTGAGGAGGGGGCAATGCTGCGACAGGTTCGCCACATTCAAGTAGCCCGCCACAATCATCGTCACCAGCACCAGCAAGACCCGGCTCGGCTGGCATGCGCCACGCGTTCGGACGTTAAACAACGAGAAAGAGGAAGTTAGTCAGATCTGTGCCACTCGGCTACTCGAACTTGACGACCATAGTTTTTAGAATCGTGGGCACAAGTTCGCCCTAATAAAGTCGCTTGTTTTTTTTAACCTGTCGGCGTCAGCATCGCTACAATATATATATATTGCCACCATTGATAAACGAGCCACGGTGGCTCATACGCGTTTTTGGGCGCGAAGAAGAAGAGAACATCTTCGTTGCTCTGGTTCAAGTGAACTCCTGGCTGCGGGTCTTGTTTTGTTCGTGACATTACTGGTGGAGGTGCTGGGTACGTGTACTTCGGCTGTGTCGGCCATCGTGGAGACAGCTACATCTCCCAGAGCAAGAATCAGCCGCCGCCTGCGTGGGTTATCCCCTGAATTTGGTCCCTTGGCATCGACACCCAGAAAGATGGCAACTGCGATGACAAGCCAGGCGGTCCAAACCAGCGATGGCCATGATTCGCTTCTCGCCCATGTTCTCCACGTGCCACAGACACCAAAGCCGTTCCATGGAGACATCTTCGAGGATGTTGATGACTGGCTAGACCACTTTGAACGGGTTGCCAATATCAACGAATGGGACGATGTTCGCAAGCTGCGCCGAGTTTATTTCTACTTGGAGGATTCTGCGAAGACGTGGTACGAGAACCACGAGGGCTCCTTTGCAACATGGCAAGAGTTCAGCCGACAGCTTCGTGACGCCTATCGCAACACCGAAAGGAAGGAGAGGGCCGAACAAGCCATATCCAGCAGAAACCAACGGCCGAACGAACGTGTATCCATGTTTGTCGAGGACATGCTTCGACTCTTCAAGCGCGCGGACCCTGCCATGCCTGAGGAAAAGAAGGTGCGCCATTTAATGCGCGGAGTAAAAGAACAGCTTTTCGCTGGGCTCGTGCGCAATCCACCGACGACAGTCGCCCAGTTCATCAGTGAGGCGGCTACGATGGAACGTACGCTGCAGCAGCGGTCGTCACAATACGAACGCCAGATCCCGGCCACCACATGCTCTATCGGCTCTGACAGCGAGAGACAGACCCTCGCAGACTTCATTCGAAGTATCGTTCGGGACGAATTGCGACAGCTGCAGGCAGTGGGATCCCATCCACCCGTGTCAGCCCTCGCGGATGTAATCCGACAAGAAGTCCGACAGGCCGTCACACCCCTAGCCCCAATCGCACCGCCGATTCCCGAGGCCCCAGTCCTGACATACGCAGCGGCATTGCGATCCCCTGCGCCACCGGCTGCAGATACTGCTATGCGGCCAAGGTACCAGGCTATGCAGCCATTTCACGACACTGCTTCAAGCCCACCTCTCGGCTCAAGGTTTTCGAGCCCACCCACCTATCCGCCGTCCATCTCAAGACAAAGTGGTAGCAAGGCAAGCACGTGGCGCACCTCGGATAACCGTCCGCTCTGCTATCACTGTGGCGAAGCGGGTCACGTATACCGGAACTGTCAATACCGGCAACTAGGTCTCCGCGGCTTCCACCCTGATGCTCGATGCCCGCGCTACGGTGAGCGCCCCCGCGAAATTGAAGCCTATCTCACGGGCCAACGTACTCCTTCGACTATTCGGCACCACCAATCGAGATCACCATCGCCTCGCCGGTCTACGTCACCCAGTTTGCCCTCATCGTCTTCCGCTCCTTTCAGGAGCCGGTCACCAAGTCCCCGCAGGGGAAACTAGGAACGGCGACTTCTGGGGGTGAAGTCGCGGCCCGGCGAACTGTAAAAGACCCTCCTTCGACGCAACGACCAGACGAGGGCGATTCCGGTTTTGCAGTGTTCTCCGACAGCAAAAAGATTGTTTCTGCCGAAATTGCCGTCTTCGTCGACAATCATGCTGTTAACGCCCTCGTCGATACCGGTGCCGACTATTCCGTAATGAGCGCAACACTGGCATCTGAACTGAGGAAGGTTATGACGCCTTGGCAAGGACCTCAGTTGCGCACGGCAGGTGGCCATCTGGTGACGCCTACTGGTATGTGCACGGCACGCATTCGAATACGTACGTCAACATTTGCGAGCTCTTTCCTCGTATTGCGCGTGTGCTCTCGGCCAGTCATTCTAGGAATGGACTTCCTTCGTGAATACGGCGCCGTCATCGACCTCCGTGAATTACTTGTGGCGTTCGAGGATCCTTTTTGCGCTGCAACTGACAGTACGCAATTCCGGAAAAGAGCGCTCCGTGTTACCGACGATTCTCTGACTCTCCCACCTCGAAGCAGCCTCTTTGTCAAAGTAGAATTGGGACAGGACTTGTCTGACGCGGTAATTGCAGAGGCCAATTTGTCTCTCCTTATTTCACAACAAATCTGTGTTGCCCGAGGAATCATTCAGCCTAGCAATAGGCATGCAAGTGAACTCCTGGCTGCGGGTCTTGTTTTGTTCTTGACAATATATATATATATATATATATATATATATATATATATATATATATATATATATATATATATATATATATATATATATATATATATATATATATATATATATATATATATATATATAATTGGCCCGAATCTACATGTTACACTGTAAATGACGAAAAACGATAGTCTTGCGTGTGGCAGCTTGGACTAGTTGGTATGGCATGACGATAGTTATAGTGCGAGAACAAAACGACGACACAGAGACAAGAGGGAGACGAAAGACACGAGCGCTAACTTCCAACTGAGTTTATTGCGCAGAGCGCGAAAATATATAGAGGAGACAGTAACCATGTGACAAAAACCATATGGCACAAAGAGCAGAGCATGAGTAAGAGAAAAAACAAGAGCAAGAAAAACGACAAAGAAAAATCTATAAGAACACGAAATAGAAAGGTAAAGAAAGCTCTTGTTTTTTGTTTTTTCTCTTACTCATGATCTGCTCTTTGTGCCATATGGTTTTTGTCACATGGTTACTGTCTCTTCTATATATATTTTCGCGCTCTGCGCAATAAGCTCAGTTTAAAGTTAGCGCTCGTGCCTTTCGCGTCCTTCTTGTCTCTGTGTCTTCGTTTTGTTCTCGCGCTATAACTATCATCGTGATATTCTTGCGTCTGGAGAGAGTGAACAAAACGTTCATTTGATGTTCTGTGCAAGAAAATCGGTGAATAGTATTCTGCAGGCGCTGCGTTAGAGTGCCTCGAGCATGTGGCGGAGGCGAACGAGCGCATCTAGGCGCGTTAGACACAAGTGTCATCTGGCAGTTATCTTCGAAAACAAAGGCGTTATAGAGGAGGCTATGGTGCAGCTCGCGGAGAAAGATCCGCGCCAGTCTCGGAGGTGGTGAGGTGTAGAACGCAAAGCGACGGGCAGGTGCCACCACCGTGACGTCGTAGCAGAGCGTTGGAAACACCTTTTCGAGCATGGCGTTGCACTGTCAGCGCAGCGCGATTAAACGCTACATTCCTTAGAGTTACTTGTGTGTGCCTATTTTAGTATAAAGGCAGACATAGAAAACATCGAAGGGTTGTTGTGGCGCCTCAGATATGCGCAATATTTGCTTTTTAATTGACAATCGCACAACTATGAACGCTAAACCTGGCTAAATCTTGAGCGGCGCTGCGGATGGGGTTGGCCGTTTGGTGCCGTTTGAAGTATCGTTAGGGCAGACAAACAGACAAAAGTACAGACAGACAGACCAAAATTTTTCCGTCGAAGGTCCCCAAGAAAGGCTACTGTTTTTAAAAGCTACGAGCGGACGGTGAGTGATAAGCAGCAGCAAAATGCGCGCTACCGCACTGCACTTGGCTCCTGCAATCAGTGTTCTGAGAATCAGCAGCTGACGGCTTGCTTCACAGCGCGTGGCGTTCGTGACTGGCTGCGGCGGCATTGGCAAAGCCAATCGCAAAGTTCACACACAATAACATAGGTTATTGCAATAATTTAAGCAAAGGCTATGTCTACCTGCTTTTGCTTTTTACAGCAAAACCAAAAGAGTTAAAATATGTTGAACATTTTGCAACGGTGACAAATTTCAGTGCACGAATCGAAATGAAGTCGGGCCGAGCCAAGCCGTTCGCGCATGTGTGTGTGGCGCCAATGCCAACGCTCTGTGAATATTTTTTTCTATTTTTTTAGCGGTGCGGTTGATGCAGTTTTGTCGGCGTTTTGTCACCGTTTTGGTCACAGTTACTGCAAAATCGGCTGCTGGTTTTTCATAACGGCAGCGCGAGGACTCCACTTTCGTCTGATTGCGTAAGCAACTCATTTCCCGGGTGCGCCGGTCGCCCTAAAGCGTTCACGAAATCGTTAGGAAAATGATCGTGCTTTTCATGGCCCCGCAAAAACGTACAGCTTATTGCGGGTGCGTTATAAGTATGTGACGGTGTGATATACGGTCATCGTGGCTACGAACGTAGGAAACGTGACGAGTATTTTACAGTATGTTAACCAAGCCAGTGTCGCAAACATGAAAGCTGCCCCTCCCCCAACGACCCACACTAGGCAATGACCCATTTGTCTCTTCCACAAAATGTACTGCCAATGCCCAGCTCGGCACTCCGTTTCTTGTTCGTACTCCCAGTGCCATTTTGCTCACACTGACTTGATCATCACCATTTTTGGGACGTTAAACCCCACATATCAATCAATCATTGATCATCACCATAAGGTTAACATAACACGCTTCTAAACTACTGTATGACATCAAGGAATTGTAATACCTATACTTTCTTTGTACTGGTACTGTCGTTGCTTACGCTATTTTATTTATTTGTGACAATGTATATCCCCACTGCAACATGCAGTATATACGTTTAGCGTGCTACAAATGAATTTTGTGGGCACTTTTGCATGTGATGACACGGGTTGCGCGTTTGTGGAGGCGCTAGAACAACGTTTTTTTTTTTTTTAAACAAAAAGTAGCGTTTCTGCAGCCCACGCATTTGTTGAGAGCGCGCGTGAAAACGTTAGGCTTTTCCATCGCTCTACAAATAATACATTTATATAAAGACGCCCTTTACTCTGCACTTGCTCGTCCCCTAACACTCGGATCAGCATCAAAGAATGCAGCGTACCCAGCACCCCGATGATTGCTTTGCAATACTGCGATTTCCGCAGTGCATAACACTGTTGAAATTTTGTTCACCTCTGCATGTACCATGCCATTGCCGACGCCAGAGCCGGATATTAATTGTGCATGTGTGTGTGGTCATATCCTCCTCTCGAACTGTGTGTGTGTGTTTGTGAGTTCGCGCGTGCGTGAGAGAGAGAGACAGAAAAAGAGGTGTCTATAAGGTCGGAAAATGCAGGAGCGTTTGAGACATCAAAAGATGACCCTGTTCAGTGCCTCTGCCTTTTCGTAATTGTACAAATGTATGTGAGAACAGTGATCAGAACGAGACATTGGTAAGAGGAAGACAAACTTGTTCACCATTCTCGCACAGCTTTCCTGTGTAGTTATAAGATATCGAAGTGACGCGTAGTTAACATTTATTTTTTCGTTTTGGCAGATGGAGCTTCGTACAGCATCCATGTACCGTAGTGCCAATTCAATGGCGGCTTGCACAAACCAGCTGTTAGCAGCCAAGCAAAGGCTTTCCAATGTCTTGGGAGATGGCTTCAAGGTGTACATGAACTACCTGAAGCTCTGGTTCAGCCAGAAGCTCACCAAAGAGGATTTCGACCTGGAGATCAGGAAAGTGCTGACCCAGGAGGGTGTGCGTGCCCACAATGAGTTTCTGCTGGCGTTTTTCAACAAATGCCAAGTCCCGTGCACGGGACGCGAGTCGAGCTCTGCAAACTCCCGCGACAAGAAGCTCAAAAGCAAGGCCAAGCCCGTGCGTGTGACCTTCGAGAAGCGGTTTGTGCCGGTATCGGTCACTCGCCACGTGCCCACAGCTAAAGAGCCGGCGGCCAGTTTGAACTTGTGCGTTCGTGAGTACTGCCTTCCCGACAAGATGCTGGTCCACGGTCGCATGTTTGTCATCGCCTGGGACAGTGGACTGGAATCCGTTGACGACCGGGCGGTCCAGCTTGTCGTGATCGCCATCAAGCAGAAAGTGAGAGCCATAATCTTAGCTCTGCTAAGCCGTCGCAGCGCGTACAAACTTCGGGACGGTCGAATGCAGCACAGCCTGGGATGCGCCCCGCCAAACCCTTACCTGCGGTTTCCCGGTCGGTCACACTTCTCGGTAGGCCTAGTGGGTGCGGCAACGGTGACACCTGCTGGCGAACACCAGCCCTGTGTGCCGCCCAGCCTGGATTGGGCTGAGAGTAGGGCTGCCATGGAGGTGGCCGCCGATCCTTGGGAACGTCCGCCGCGTCAACCCATCTCTGCTGCCGATTTGCTGGAGACGCTTCAGGTTCGACGTGACGTCTTGCCAGCTCACTCCGTTGGAGCAAGGGCTCTGGAGCACGCGCTTGCTGCACAGTGGCACCCGAGCCACGAGGAGCTGCGACAGGCCAGCATCCACGAGCAAGAGGAAGCCCTGAGGGCACAGCTTCTTGAGCAGCACTTAGTGTGGTGAAACAGATCGCACAAATGTATGTTCCTTGTGACCGCAGGTTGAACTTAATCAGTCTCCAAGGCTTGGGTAGCTAGGCTCTGATGACATCCTCACTCTATATATGGAGAGGCGGATGAGAACGCTGCTCCTGCTGGAAGTTCGGAACAATGGAAGAGAATTTTGGCATTTGAAACAGTGCAATGTGCCTGAAGAAACATGTGTGCCCGGTTGATAAGGTAGTGGCAGACTGAACACATGGTGATAGACAAGCTAGAGGCTCATCACCATGATTACAGCCATGTCTTCAGATAAAGACTGCAAGGATGATGAGCTACAGGCTCATCACCATAATTACAGCCATGTCTTCAGATAAAGACTGCAAGGATGGATGGAGTAATGAATTCTGGGGGTCGCCACGAAATCGGCTCAAGCCAAGCAAGACAGCACCTGTCACTCTAGTGATGCAAGTGGTACGCGAAATGACTGCTTGTCAAATTTTTTTTTTATTCTCTGTGCCGCAACTGTGCGAAAACTTACATGAGTTGTACAACCTCTGCGTTGGCTCTTCGGGCTAAATTAAAATGAGCTATGGTGATTCTGAAACTGAACAGATGACCAAACTGAGCCTATTTTCAGTTTCTGGGGTATTGTTTATGGAATGTGCCGATATGTGGCTTTGCAGTGGCAGTAGCAGTGCCGCCTTTTTTGTGGCCTTGTCAGAATATTTCAGTTGGCATTAACATTTTAGTTGACACAAGTGAAATAATTTTGGCTGTTGCGTGCCCTGCCTCAAAATGCACCTTCTCTTTCCAAGTATAAAGGTAGGTCCTCTATATGTGTAGTTGCGTTTCTGGTGCCTGTAGTATTGTTTTCATGGACAAGAATGGAATGTTCGGAAATTCTAAACATACAATGCTTCAAGCTCCAGCCAGTATCTCTCGTTTCTTTCTTTCGCTGTTATTTTGGGGTGCTAATGCTAACTATATTGCTCCTGATGTTTATATTCATGCTTTAATGATGCTTAGGAATGTTTCTCGCATACTCTTGGAATTTGTGGGCAATGAATTTGATGACATGTTGTTTTTGCTATATTACAGTATTAGTTTTGAGTCTTGCTTCATCTCTTGCCAGCAGCTCCTGCTGGTGTGCAGTTCGTGTTTTATACACGTTTCTTTTTAACATGATTTCACTGGTGCATGATGAAAACTGGAAATCAAGTTTTCGAGCCTGTTTTGTTGCCCTCAAAAGTTTTCATGCTGTGTGAGCTTAATGCTGATGAAATAATTATGCAGTGTCAGAGTTATTTAATTTATGTACAAAAAAAGAAAGTCTCTTGTGTAGTAGTTCTTTCTCAACTTGACCTGCTTAATGGTACCAATTACTACCGCCTCAAGCTGTCCAGTAGAATTGGTATCGTTAGACACAACTTTTGTGATTTCTAAAAAAATTCTTTTGGATTGGCTGTAGATGGCATTTTAGAATGTTAGTTTTTGTTTTTGTTGATTTTGTCTTCCTCAGTAAATTCAGTTAGTGCATGTCGTGGTAAATAGTAATGGCAGATATTTTTTCAAATGCTCATGTCAGCGTAATACTAATTGCATTCCAACTTATATGCGAATAAGGGGCCTTACTAACTCCTCTCCTAGGACCACACTACGAAGAATTGATTGGTCTAAATTTCAGCGACTCATGGAAAATACATGCCGTGAAGACCCTGACCAGAACTTGGAGGATGTCATCAAAGAGGCAATGAGGGAAGCTTCCTGTCTCCTCCCGTTCACCGGCAAGCGTTCAGATTTCGACGTTGAACTGGAAAAACTGTGCGCACTTCGCCGAAGGGCGGAAAGAAGATACAGACGGACGAAAGCAATATGCGACTTGAGGCTGGCACGACGCATACAGAAAAAAGTCGAACGACGTTTAGACAAACTTGAACAGGAACGCTGGAAATCATTCTGCGAATCATTGGATCCCCAAAAGCCGTTGTCACGCATCTGGAGCACTATTCGTGGCCTGCGCTCGACTCCCCAACAAAGACATCCTTTCATGGCTTTAGCCCTACATTTAGGCCACACCCAACTTGAAGTGGCAAATGAGTTTTGTACGCGAATCGCTGGTGTGTCCGCCTTGTCCGCTGGCACCATTAGGAGTGTTATCCCTGAACCCCGCATCTCCGAAATGGACAATCTTTTCACTATAGAAGAACTTGACGCATCTTTGGTGGCTTCCCGACGATCATCTTCACCAGGACCCGATGGCATCACCTACGCCGCTCTAGCCAACCTTCAACAGGAGGCAAGGGGACAGTTGTTAAGCTATTACAACCACTTATGGCAGGCGTGCATTGTTCCCCAGGATTGGAAGATAAGTCGACTTGTGCCGCTACTCAAAGCAGGAAAGTCAACATTTGATTTGACATCATTTCGCCCTGTTGCCCTCGCAAGTTGCGGAGGAAAAGTCATGGAAAGGATGATACTTGCACGTCTAGAATGGTACCTCGAGCGCTACAACATATACCCAAACTGCATGACGGGTTTTCAGCGAGGTAGGTCATCTCTTGACAACGTGATTGATCTCACAACATTTATCCAGCAACAAAAGAGCCTCAAGCGCATACCACTGGCACTCTTCCTCGACGTCAAAGGGGCTTATGATGACGTAACACATAAAGCCATCCTAGACTCGTTGGAAGCTGTTGGAATCGGTGGTCGGATGTTCCAATGGATCCAGGATTATTTGACGAGAAGGTCCTTTTTTGTACAAACCTCAGATGGACCTACCACCAATTACTACACCTCCCGTGGCGTCCCTTTGGGCGCCGTATTAAGTCCCACTTTATTTAACCTCGTGATGGTAGGCCTTCGTAAAATTTTGCCAAGTACTATTCTCATATCCATATATGCTGACGATATTTGTCTATGGACTTCGGCTGTAACTCGTCTACAAGTACGTGCAAGAGTCCAGCAGGCTGCTACCCTGACATGCTCATATCTCCGCAAGCAAGGTCTTTCCGTCTCAACGGAGAAATGTGCATTGGTTGCGTTTACTCGCAGAGCCATGACACAATACCCCGTTACCACCAATGGGCAAAATATTCCATACCAGAAGAACCATCGTTTCCTGGGTGTGATTATTGACAGGAACCTTTCGTGGAGTGCCCACTGCAATTACCTGAAGAGAAGGCTAACTTCTATTGTCCATATAATGCGGTTCCTCTGCGGAAAATCTTGGGGCACATCGATAAGGTCAATGATGCAGCTATACAGGGCACTGTTTCTGGGATTTTTGCGCTACAGCTTGCCGTTACTGGCAAGTACGTGCAAGACGAATATCCGCACCCTCGAAAGTCTGCAAGGACAAGCACTACGTGTGTGCTTAAGATTGTCGCGATGCACCTCAACCTACGGGGCAATTATGATCGCAAGAGAGCATCCAATCCAAACATACATCACCACTGACAATTTGAGAGCCCACATAAGACACCTTTGCCGAGTTCCTCGTCACCATGTTGCAGTGTTGCCACTTCAAAGACCACAAGCAATGTTTTCAAAGATTATTCCTGCCCATAGAGAATGCTTTCCTTTCGGCTTCACTCCAGCAACAAGACCAGCGTCACTTCCATGGTGCCTACAACAACCACAGGTGTGCCTCACTATTCTGGGATTTTTGCGCTACAGCTGAACAACGAACAAACGAACAAGAGCCGTCATTCAACAGTGGTCCTACGACAGGTGACATTGTCGCTACTCAACGAAAAATATGGCCAGAGGACCCACATTTACACCAATGGATCGGTCACGGCTGACAGCTCCACAGGTGCTGTTGTCATCCCGGCGTACCAGGTCACTATAAAGCTCAAACTTTCGCATAGGACAACATCCACAGCAGCGGAGCTTGCCGCCTTACGTGCTGCTATACTTTATATCGCGGAAGCCCGACTTCAAAAATGGGCTGTGTTCTGCGACTCCAAGGCATCCCTTCAGAGCTTGCAATCAGCTTTACGAGAAAGGGAGCATCAACAACTAGTGAATGAAATAAGAGAAGTGATTCACAAAGTTTTATCGAAAGGACATGACGTGGTGTTTCAGTGGTTATCGGGACATTGTGGTATTGTCGGTAATGACCTTGCTGATAATGCTGCCCGATCCGCCCACGCGGACGCTCAGACAACCGCAATTCCATTGTCGAGAATCGACGCTGCAAGGGGCCTTCACTCGTTCGTTAACACCATGTCGGAAACTTGGCTGAGTGACCCCAGTGTCAGGAACGGACGCCTACACAAATTGGACCCATCGAGAAAGCTTCAAGTTCTATCGGACCTCTCCCGCCAGGATGCAACATTACTGTGCCGCCTGTGGTTAGGAGTAGCTTTTACAAAGGCGTACTCCTTTCGCATAGGAATGGCGGATAGCTCCCGATGTGAATCGTGTGACACTGACGAGACAATAGAACATCTACTGTGTTCATGTGAACGTTTTTCGAGCGAACGCAACTTGCTACGCGAAACGTTAGAGACACTAGACAGTACACCTTTCTCCGAAGAGAAGATCCTTGGTTCATGGCTGTACGCGTCGCAGGCCAGCAAAGCGACGCGAGCACTGCTAAGTTTTCTAAAGAGGACCGGACTACGCGACCGCTTATAAGCGTGCAATGGATAAGGTCACATCTACACACACGTTGCCCTTCACTTCTCTCTCTCTTCTCCTTTAATCCCCTCACCCCTTCCCCCCGTGCAGGGTAGCAAACCGGACATGCGTCTGGTTGACCTCCCTGCCTTTCATCTCTTCCCTTCCTCCTCCTCCTCCTAGTTTTTGTTTCACTGTACATATAATCTATATTTTTTCATCTTAGCCATTTGTTTTATTCTATAGAATTTTGTGACGTGTTATAGTGATTTGCTTACTGCTTGTGTGCACATGTTAACTTATTCAAAACAAAGTACTCTGATGATCTTGGGCTCACTAAAGTGTGTTGATTTTGTCTTCCTCAGTAAATTCAGTTAGTGCATGTCATGATAGATAGTAATGGCAGATACTTTTTTCAAATGCTTATGTCAGCGTAATACTAATTGCATCCAAAGTTTGCTAGCCATACGTAGGCACTGACTTGCTCCTAAAGATTGGTGTACCTAGTGAAGGAGGTTCAATCCCCTCGCCATATTTTTCAGTTTTACATATATATGTAACATGCACACACAAAAAAAAGTGCATGCATGTACATACATAAGAGTGTCCGAACCTCGACCCCCCTGAATTTCTGGATTTGCTCGTACTCCAAACATGTTTTTTTTTTCTTGCTCCAAATGGAATCTTTTCTCCAAAAGAACAAATTACTGCTCCAAACTCTTGCTGCTCTAAAATCTGTACCAAAAGTCACTTTAATCCCTTTGATGATGTATATTTGAGTAAAAAAGGGAGCCTTTTCTCATTCATTTTCCTCAATATGCCTCAGGCTTACAACAGCATTCAGTGGGGCTGTGACAAACATTCCAAGAGTGCTGTCTGGCATAAGGAAATATTAAGCTTACTGCAATACGTTCAGAGTGACAATTGGGCAGTTCTGTACAAAATCATCCATAAAATTCAGGCTTGCAAGCTAAGACAAAACA